CGTTGAGGTGGTTGCCAAATAACGTTGCGTTAGTTCACCCTATGATCAGGATGTTTCCTGACTCCAACTCCAGGAATTGCCGTTGAGAACGTCATCATTCTTTGTGACATTTCCAGTGCTTGTCATCACCTCTGTGTGCCGCCATCCCTCCGACGCAGCTTCCGCTCCTACCTGAACAACTTCTCTCACCCCGACCAACTGGTTTCCACCGCATTGTTTGGCCTGAGATGTACAAGGACATGAAACCTTGTCTCGCTTGTCAGCGTACATAGAAAGGTCCAAAGACATAACAAAGCTCAAAGCCTTCCCAAGCCCCGATGCAAATTTCAGTCGTATTCATCTTGACATTGTAGACCTCCTACCTCTGTCCAATGGCCATTCCCATCTGCTCATCGGCGGGATCGATACACTCATTTGTATACTTTTTCTAGACCCGAAATATTCTTACTACGAAACTTTAACACCCACATTGCACAAATATTATGTTCTATATTTGATTTTATTGTACCTTTGAAGACAGATTCTTTTCACTCAGAACAAATTTCCTTTCTTGCACACTACTGACCAAGCATAAAACTAAGACAAAACCACTATTGACTGCAAAATAGGGGGTTTGGTTTAGGTTTTTTTCCGGTTACCAAGGACAATGACGGTGCCCAAGAGGTGCCTTAAAAATAAACCTTATTAAATAAACCTTATTTATTAAACCCGATGGTCGAAAGCGATCTAAATTCCCGATTTTGCTGCTTTAACTGTTGTCAAGGCCTTCCTAGTTCATTGGGTTGTCATTTTTGGTACTCCTATTATCACGAGTGATCGCGGTCCCCCAGTTTGAGTATTTCTAGAAGTTAATCTCCTTTTAGGCTGTACTCGCATTCGCGTTACAGCCTATCACCTGGTGACAAATGGAATGGTCGAACGCCTTCACCGGCAGCTGAAGGTCTCCTTCGGCGCCGCGGCCGATCAAAAGACTGGACGGACCACCTTCCTTTGCTCATGCTAGGCATCCGTTCCTCCCCCAAGCCTGACCTTGACTGTTCCGCCGCAG